TTCTCACCCTCGTTCTGCCAATCAAAATCGACTTCCTTGTTTTGTCTTCCATCTGACCCCAAAAGTCAAGCTCAGAAAGACCTAGCGGAGATATACTTCCTCTGAAAATAAAATTCTGCTAAACTATTATTTAACACGTCCTACTATTTAACCCATAACTGGGAGGGGAGAAATGGTGGATTCAAACCTTTCCCAAAATTATTTGTTCGTAAGTGAATATAACGAACAGAAATGGAATTGGAACTCGTCTCTGTGATTTCCAATTCCGAGCCGTTAATTATTACATAAACCGTACATCCAAGATTATAGCATCTGATATTCCCAAGAGTATCACCCATATAGGTATTGAACAGGCTCGATGTTGCTTAACTTCGGTGATTGTAAGAGAAACGGTGTTTCAATGTGATATGTTCGTAAGCCTTGTAATCAAGAGAAACAAAGGGAAAAAAACATCGTGCAAAGAACTTACCGAGTTTGTGTCAATGGAGAGCTTTCAACAGGACAAGGGGGAATAGTAAAGGGCAGCGCGGAAGAACCATTTCTGCCCAAATCCTGAAGACACATAGCACATAAAAGAAGAAGAATTTTCATGAGTACACACAAACACACAGACGCACATATATACACACAAACATCACAAAGTCGGGTGTGTAAAAACACGTATACACATATAGCAACAAAGAGGTAAACACTTATAAAAACAGGCATACATATACATAGGTATAATCACATACATAAACGCAGAAACGTAAACATAAACGCACGATAAAAAAATAAACACGTACCTACGAATGGCAGACGCACATACACTTAAAATTACACATATGCGCACACATATATACGCAATGAGTGTACAATCGCATACATATTTCTATGTTATTAGCTGATATCTTCCTAAGGACCCACATGCAACTCGCCACAGAAATAACTTTGACAATTATCTGTCTTGGCAAAGGAAATCAGCTTAATAGAGTGGACTGTCCCAAAACAAATCACACAACCCTGTCAAAGTAGATCACTGAGTAAAGCTAGATCCTGAGTTCTTAATGAAAGACTTTTTTTTAAATAAAGCTGACAAGAACGGAGTATCTGTAAGATAGTGGTTTCTAGAGGAGAGAGACCGAAAGATACTGAGAGGGGCAGAAACCTGCTCGCTATCACGCGAAAAAAAGACGACCGCGTAATTTACGTCAACTACATTCACCTCTACCGCGCTCGTCTACAGAAGAAGGTGATAACCGAATAAAATTTGCCGACTGCTATAATCATCCCTTAGTTTTATTTCGTCGGTGAGGATCTGGCCAAAGAGTTGTTTTATAACCCACAAGCGTTTGATTAGAAGAAGCTGCACCCTGAGAATGAACCTGGTATCAGGTCTGATCTGCACAGCTACAATACAGTATACACATAGACACACACACACGCACGCACAAACGTTGATTACATTTTAAGGTAATTACGTTACCGCATCAATTTAATTAAATTTCTATATTAATCCACTAATTAAAAATTAATTCATTACATTCTCTTCTTTTTTACAAAAGTGCTCCTCTGATTTCAATCAGTTTGTTATAAATCGATTTAAATGATTCTGAATTAGACAAAACCATTTATTGTTTGTTCCATTCTTGATTACGAAAAATGAGGTATTTTTGTGCCATGTGAACAAAATAAAGGTTTTAAAGCGAGGCTTTCGATACGGAACATATGCCTGAACATCAGTTATTACCACTACTGTATCTTCATTAACAACGCGATCAACAGGTGTTCTCTCAGAGAGGCGCATTGCCTTGAGCGTCTATTCGGACTTAAGCTCAACCTAGTGGAAATCGTACATACGATACATCGCTAAAGATATTAGAAAAATGGTCCGTTCTCTCTACAGCTCCGGCATCTGACTCTTCGGGATATCCTTTATCTTTGCAAGAGCCAGATCAGGCCGAAAATGGAGTACTGCTGCCATATATGGGTAGAAGCTACCCAGTCTTCACTTCCCAGTTTCTATCGAGTTCAATAGCGTCTCTGCGTCCTTGTGAGTGATGAATTATTTTCCTCCCCACAACCATATCACCATAGACGGGACGTCGCAAGCCGCTCGCTGCTCTATTGCTATTTCCGTGGAAAGTACACAGACGGACTACATTCCTTCGTTCCACCTAAGATCCGCCATGCCCCGCACATTGTAACGAACCACACTCATTCCCTTCGTATAACATTGATGAGATATGAATCCCACTCGACTTTGTGGAATTGACTCCCAAGATGATGCTTCCCCGATAACTACAATCTTAATCTGTTCGAGTCGAGAGTTAACAGTTATGTTGCCCACATAACCGTATAAATTGTGCCTCTTCCGCTGCTTTGTGGAAGCAACTCCCAATAGAAATAATTCCCCGATCACTACACTCTTAACCTGTTCATGTCTCGGGTTAACTGTCATCTTCCACACATATCTCAAGAAACTGTACGTTTTACTTGGTAATTCTCTACCTCGAGTGGCTCTTAGTCCTTGTGCAGTGTGAACAGCATTGTAAAAAGAAGGGACAGCTTAAGGTGCAAGCTAAAAATTAGAAACGTCAAAATAAAGCAAGTACAGAATCCATCTTGCACATTTATATACCTACTATTTGTCTGTATATTGAATACAGCAACCATATTTTGGTCTGGTGCTCCGATTGGGCAACTTGCAATACAGTCGATCCTGACCACGTATCTCGTCTCCATTCATTTTCTCACCGACCCGACATGGCCTCCCGTCTATCTGTTCTACAAATATTTTCATGGCAACTGCTCGGACGAGACTTTTACCCTGCTGTCCAGATTACATGGATTTAAGCGTGCTACTAGATTGACATCTGGGTCTCATCGTTTTACTGTTGAAATAGCTTGATGCAAACACCACTTCTAATCTTTCTTTTTTTTTCTCGCACTTCCCACCTGGGGAACTCCCTTCCGATTTCTTGCTTCCCTGATAACTACAAACATTAAAAATGTAAAGGCAATGTCAATCGTCATCTCATTTATCATGAACTCTGTTTATTTATTGTCCTTTCCTCGATTTACCCCATTTTCAATTTTCTCATTCTCTTTCAAATTACCTCCCTGTAAATCCCTGCGTTTTAGTGGCACTGCTTGGGACGAAACGATTAAATAAATCTAGTATGACAGACAATGGAAAGTAAAACAGAGAAATCTGACGAGCAAAAGATGCTTTCCCTATATTAAGAAATGGAACAATTTGGTTGGAAAGAAAGATAAGCGTGCTGGTCTTCCTATATGACAGTGAATGCTGAAAAATTCCCCCAAATTCCGTAAAAGTGACTTAATGCAAACGAGATATGGTTATGCAGAAGAATACTGCGTAAAACGTGAACAGAACACGTGACCAAAAGATGACAATTGAAATTTCCTGGACGTATAATGAAGAAAGAGGGCCTGGAGAATTTGACACTTACAAGTTAGATTGAAAAGCAGCCATGAATTTATGACAGAACATGAACAGCGAGATATTTTAAGGAGTCAATTTTTTGTGCTACAAGGAATACTTGATTTTGATTTTGACTGCTTTGTTTTCTACAGTTCATCAACCCTTTGCAAATTATTTAAAGCCATAAAATATGTCTAGATTATATTTTTCTTTTGCTGATAATAATTATTTAGTAATATAAGTGTTAGGGAATGACTTATAACTGGAGAAAAATGGTGGATTCATACCTCTCCTAAGGCTAATTGTGCTTAATTGAAAATAACGAACCCAACTGAAATTGGAACTCGACTCTCAGTACAACGTTTCGTCTGTGTGGAAAGGGGTTGTTAAACAGGAAAAAATTAATCCCCACAACGTCAATTAGACTGTTTGTTATATAGGAATAAAGTCTTGCTGCTGACAGTTGAGTTTGTACATAGATCGCCAGTGAGCAAACACAGGCGATAAAATTATTGAATTTAATGGATCACGTGACCACAGAAGAAACGCATATATAGGAAGTTGCGTGACCTTTAAATGATCGTTATTTCTATTCTATCCTCTATTACTATTTGAATCTGCATTTCTGTTCTATTCTCTATTACTATACGGAGCGCTATTCTCTACTCTATTCCAAATACTATTTCTCAATTCAGATCACTATACGGATTACTATTCGAGCGAGTAATATCGAGCAGGTACTATTATTGCTAATTATATTCGAAGGCGTTTGTCACCTGTATTGTTCAACGGCATTACATTACTATAGTTGTACCTGCGATTACAAAGACTCTATTACAACAAAGTGCTCACAAGTATTCGTTGGCATCACAAAAGTGACAACGAGTATTCGTAGGCATTAGAAAAGTGTCAAACGAATGTTCGTTGACGTCACAAAAATTGAATATAACGAACCCAACTGAAATTGGAACTCGGTTCCCCATACAAGAGACAGAAATTCGTGGAGAGCCATGACCGCACATGCCCTGAAGAGACACGGCTCATAAAAAAGAAGAGCAGTTAAGCCACAATCATACCTGTCACGATCACGAATATGGTTACTGATTAATATCGTATAGACACCAAATCTACTGCTGCTTTAGCAGCTGTTGTGGGTGCAACTCGATCAATTAACTTGATTTTTTAACTAACTTAACTTTTTCTTTCTTCAAGCCGATTATAAAAATTAGACTTGTACTTTTAGACAGGTTTCCCAACCAAAACTAAAAAATCTAGTCTAACCTTTTATTTTTGGTGGTTTGAATGTTGAGTCTAAAGTGGCTAGTTTGTTCTCTTTCGTCCATAAATGAATGAAGATGAATTCATTTCTTTTCCAATGTTATTAGTCTTAAGTGAATGAAACAGATTCGGTTAGAATTTGAATATTGCCTGCTTCAATATATTTATCAATCGTCTAAATTAGCTTATCTATCTATCTATCTATCTATCTATCTATCTATATATATATATATATATATATATATATATATATATATATATATATTTGTCATTGTATTTTTATAACTATCAATCTATGTATATCTATCTATTTATCATTAACATTCATATCTATCTATTTATCTATCGTCATCGTTTTATAGTAATCTATCTATATTTATCTTTTTATATCTATCTATCTATCTATCTATCTATCTATCTATCCTTCTTTCGTTTATATCTATCTATCTATCTATCTATCTATCTATCTATCTATCTATCTATCTATTTCTTTCTTATATATCTATCTATCTATCTATCTATCTATCTTTCCTTCTTTCTTTTATATCTATCTATCTATCTATCTATCTATCTATCTATCTATCTATTCCTATCCGAATTAACCTCGCCTTGCTGCGCGTCACACATCTTCTTTGTAAGAAAATGATGATTGATTTTAAATCATTGTTATAATTTGTGGAGAAAAATGATGCATTTCAATATTACTTGATGATCTTGCCGATGTGACCGCCATCTTCTGTCTTTCTCCTATATTTTGGATAGGAGTCATGCCCTTGTTCAAACTTAAATTTAATTTAAACCAAAAAATATCTGTGGATGGGTTGTGCAAAAAAAAACAGCTTGATCTGATCCCTTTGATATGTACTTGACGCAATACTTGATTGAATGAATTGATGAACAGATTTCAACATTAATATCACAGTTAAAGTGTCACAACAAATATGTATTGCAAAGCTCTACCCTCTGATTGGTGATTTCTTGCTCAACTTGACGTCCATATTATCTCATTCTGATCTTGCTGATGTGACCTCCATCTTCTGAATATATCTTTCCGTACTTTGGATAGAATTCATTCCTTTGTTCAAATTTAAATTTAATTTAAATCAAAGGGAAAAAATTCAGTAAGAGGGGTGCCCCCGGGGACACCTTTGATCAAATTGAAATATACTTATCCAAGTACTCTAGGCGGGATTCCTTTCTTCAAATTTAAATTTAATTTAAATCAAAGAGAAAAAATCTGTGGGGAATGTGCGCCCTCCGGGAACCCTCTTTGATCAAAATAAAATATACTTATCTAAGTACCCTGGGTAATGTACTTTCAGAATATATATGGTTATGGGGTTCTGTCTCCAAAACCCTCGGAGGAGTTTGATAACAAATAAACAGAAAGACAGAGGCCACAACTTTATATATCTACCTATATTTATCTCTTTATATCTATCTTTCTAGCTAGCTAGCTCTCTTTATATTTGTATATGTGTCTATTTTATCTTTTCATATTTATCTATTTATCTATATTTATCTTTTTACAACTATCTCAATAATTTCCTTATCTATCTAGCTTTATCTATCTTTCTATGTATCTGTCTGTCTATATTTATCTCTTTATAATTATCTATCTTAAAACTTATATGTCTATCTAGGTTGTCCAGATCAATATCAATCTTATTCTTCCTGACTTACTTTTCTCTCTCTCTTTCTCTCTCTCTCTCTTTATCTGTATATCTATGTAATCTATCTATATAAACCTGCTTATATTTAGCTATCAAAGCTTGTCAATATTATACATCATATTTTTTCTTTCTTTTTGTTTCTCTCTCTCTCTCTCTCTCTCTCTCTCGCTGTATGCATGTTTATATCTAAGATTGTTCTGATCTATCTTACGCTTTATATATATATATCTAAGCTTATTCATATTTATCTCTCTCTCTCTCTCTCTCTCTCTATCTCTATATATATATATATATATATATATATATATATATATATATATATATATAAAATTTTTACATACCGACAAAATAATTACTTCTGACGAAGATAGAGGAACTCCTGACTGGTCGAGATGCCCCTATGCATCGAAACAAAAATGCATCTTTGTCAGGAGTAATTGTTTTTGTCTGTATATAAAAATTGATAATAAATAACTACTGCTCTACTCATGTTATTGAGCACTCTTTTAAATTAATGCTGTGAACGTTAGAATTTATATCCTTTTCGTTCTTATTACATATATATATATATATATATATATATATATATATATATATATATATATATATATATATATAAGCGTGTTCCAATTTCTTAGACCGATTTCAAATGCAAATGAAGTTTAAGCGTCTAATGATTGTTTTTTTCTTTCAGATTTGGCGGATATTTGGGCGGGGTTATTTTTTTACAGATAATTGGCATGACTTAAATAACATGATCCAAGAGATAAATACATTTTTACCAATAACACTGATTTATTTATTTTGATCAGTATTAATGAAACAACCTTATATATAATCCGCCTTAATGAAACACTTTATATATATATATATATATATATATATATATATATATATATATATATATATATATTCTTTTTCTTTCTTTCTTTCATTCATTCATTCTTTCTTCTTTTCTTTCTTTCTATGTGTATGCCTGTGCCTTTTCATATAGATTTATCTTGTTCTTTTTGCTATCTATCTATCTATCTATCTATCTATCTATCTATCTATCTATCTATCTATCCGAATCTCTTCATTATCTATCTATCTATCTATCTATCTATCTATCTATCTATGTAAGCATGCATATTTATCTACCATATTTTCGATGAACTGCCGAGTTTTATTATCACAAAATAATGAAATAAAACGGATGAATTCTGATTTAAACCTATTTCAATTGCGCGATGTTGATTCAGTGTAACGCTAAACAAATGTTCCTCTCTTTGTAATATATTCCCAGTTGATATTGACATAAGCTGACCTGCTTTGCTATTCTCTATGGAAAACCTTTATACATTTAATATACACGACTAGGGCAATCTATCTTATTTGTTACGGATCACTAGTCATTTATACAGGCAATGATATCAGATATGATTTTTCAAATAAATGCGTCGAAACTTTCCCTCACTCTAACGTTTATATACGAGGTTTGAAAATGTAATTCCCTGTACGACCGCAGCCTATCGCTGGTGTAGTGTGTCAGATAAATATTTCTGCTAGGCAACGTCTGGGATTTCTGGGATATATAATGAGAAAAGGGGGCTTGGAGAATTTGAAACTTAGAGGTCATTCAGAAGACAAAAAGGGTAGCCGTAACTTGCTAAGAGAACGTGAACAGCGAGATACTTTAATGGATCAAATGTTGTTTAGTGCTACAAGGCTACTTGATATGGTGTAACTGATTCGTCTTTTACGGTTTATCAACCATTTGAAGGTTATTTAAAGCCAGAAAATACTTTTAGATTTCGCTTTGTTTTTGAGATAATGATGTAGTAGTGAAAATTTTAGTAAATGACATAACTAGGGATAAAATTGGATTCATGCCTTTCCCAAGGGTATTTGGACTTAAGTGAAATTGAAACTCGGATCTCTGCTGAAGGGATAGGAATTCGTGGAGAGCCATGATCACCCACGTCCTGAAGAGACACGGCACATAAAAAAGATGAGTAGTTAAGCAACAACCATACCTGTCACGTTCAAAGTTCCAGTTTCTTGAAACGTAGGCCGGATGAGTCATTCATTGCTGAGCAGTTAAGGATGCTGTATGCTTTCATATCATGCTATTAGCAGCAAATGAGTAAAAGGGAGATGGAGAAACGGATTTTTACAAAAGTTGATAAAAGTGCTTGCCAATCGTTCAGTCGAATTAAAATAGCTTGTAGTGAGCATGCTACGAAGAAATTTGCTTTTGAGTGATACAGGTGATTCAAGACTTGTCGAGATGTACATAATGACGCAAGCAAGTCGACAGAAAAATACCTAAATATCAGATTTAAAAGTAGTAGAGTACGAAAGAGGTTGCATTCAGAGCGATGATTAAGTGAGTGTTTTCTAGCAAAAAATACGATTTGAGAAACTTTGAACTGATTATAACAGAGAAGCTGAGAATGAAGCGATGCTTATCAAAGATGGCGCCTCCAATCTAGGAATATAAATTCACAATGTATGCTTATTTCGTCACGATTGTTTGCTGATGCTTTCATATCTTCTTTCCTTTTATAAGCTAGAGTCAATAATGAACAGGTAAGAAAACTTTGATTAAATTGGCACACATTGTACACTGTGTCAAGCTTTGGGCAGAGGTATAAGACATGAATGACGGCTACTGTTTCGTAACCTTCACATATAAGTGCCAGAGATAAATAAGCAGAAATCTGGCTTTGACTACTTCATTTTGTTGTGTTGAATGTCACAGCAAAGGGCAGGAAAAATATATTAATGACTTCGAGAGAGGATTAATTTTTATTGGTATCTATACTAGATCTGCGTATCTCCTAGAGAGCGCAGCTTTTATGCCTCTCGTTTTCAACTGTGATCACTGCCTATCGACTTTGATCAATGGCGCAGAAGAATCACCCTACCTGATTGGATAATAATTGTTTTTCGGACACAAGGAAGACTAATAGCTTATTATTAATATGGTAATAATTTTCGGAAAATTCTTACATTCTTCATCATTTATGCGTCAATCATGGATCTCCACAACTTCTATCTTTTGCATCGCTTAGGAATTTCTTTTTTACTATCATTCCCATTACCTGTGCTGCCATCCATTTTTACATGGCTGTTAGGTATGTTATTCGCTGTTTACCACAGCTGCACTTCCATAATTCCCATGTGTGTCTCATAAAATGATAGGTCCCGGAAAGGGATATATTTGAACGAAGTAGCTAAGTGGTTTGGGGCTACTATAACCAAGTAGAATACGGTAGCAGTAATCGACTGGTACGCGTCGTAGTCGCAGGTAAGAAGTGTAGATCAATGGCGTAGTCCAATGGGCGTCGTTATAGACTTAGCTCTCAGACTAAGGCTCTTTTTGACTCTGTCGTATCTACACATCCGTCGGTATTTATGACGGACACCAGTCAATCATATTCCAGTGAGGGGGAACACAGGTGTACGCATATTCCATTATATCATAAAATTTATCTGTCTCTTACTGATTCTAAATATAAGTTTATACTTTGTTTACATTTTCCTTAAAACTTACCTGTTGCACACACACTTCGTTCATGATATTCTCAGTATCAATCTGTAGAACTCCATCTCTCTTAACTCATGTCTCCAATTCATCCTTGGGAAAATGTTGATAAGATAGCGAAGTAACGATAAGAAAAGATAGTATCTTATGTGCGTACAATAAATTTTAAATCTATACGATGTTTTTTTTGTTTTGTTTTGTTTTTTTTTCTTAACCATTCCCCCCAAGTAATGCAATAACGCCGCTGGGACAAATTTAAATTTTTGATGATCAAACTTGACTGAAAAGCAAGAAACCGGAAGAAAGTTCTGCAAACGACAAGTTCGATAGAAGAAACTGTTAGCATAGAACTCACGGTAACATTCAGCCATTTCAACTGTAAAATGATGAGACCTAGCTGCCAATCTAGTACTGTGCTTCAATTCATAAAGTCTAGGTATCATAACGGAAAGTTAATCCAACCGATTATCATGAAAGTATTTATAGAAAAGGCACAGAGAAGCTACGTTACGACGGTGGGAAAGGAACTGAAGTCGAGATGCCAGGTCATAACCAATAATATTGCAGATTCTTTTGATTTCATCAAGAATATCTAAATATATAGCATGAGAACCAGAGCAAATGTGACAGAAATATTCAAAGCAATGGCGAATAGTAGACTTATAAATATGTAAGATAGATTCTGGCGAATAAACATGCAATATTTGCTTTCATTTTTACTTAATTCTGGTATTAACAGCAAATTAAAGCAATTATCCCCTGTTTTATTTTGTCAAAATATAGTACCTTTGATGGCTGTGCGCTGTCCAGGCTATATGCCATCCCTGCTGGCGGTACTGATAGAGAAATACAGGGCATTACAGTTTGGGATGGTTTGGCTGTAGGAATTACCGGAAAGTTGTCATTGTTGACACCCAACAGCTGTCAGGAGTCGTCTCTAGGTTTTCTGTCTGGATTTATTTCCATAAGCTTTTTTATATTTCTTTGTTTTTTTTTTTTGTTTTTTTTTTTTTGTTGTTTTTTTTTTAGCATTTCACCCCTAGCAAGGCGGGAATACCACTAGTATGCAAAGAGCTACAGAGAGTAAGTAATGGGTAAGTAAGAGAGTAAGCAATGGGTATAAGGGGGTAAGGAAAGTATAAAAAGAGAAACGGAGGAGGATAAGTGGAAGAACGAGGATCAACGAAACAGAAGATGTCGATTGACATTACATTCAAATTTTTTTATCATCATAGTTATCAAGAAAGCAAATAGGAGGAAGAGAGTTCCACTGTCGGGAAGTGCGAGAGAAGAAGCTGTTGGAGTAGAAGAGCTGGTTACATTTAACAGCTTCGACTGTAAAAGGGTGGGACTGAGACGTCAAACTAGTAGCACGCTTAAATTCATGCAGTCGAGGCACCAGTGAAAATAGATGCCATGAAAATATTCATAAAAAAGGCAGAGAGAAGCCACCTCACGTCTGTCAGAAAGTGACTGGAATCGAGACCACAACTCAGGACCAATCACATTACATATCCGTCTTTGGATTTTGTGGAGGACCTCGAGATTGAACAGCGGGGGTACCGCACCATATACGGCAAGATCATTCCATTTATTGTGTTTGGATAAGAACGCAAAACAACGGAGGTTTAAAATCAGGGTTTTCTTTACTCTAGATTGATTGCCTTCCTGGGCTGTAGAGCTCCATCTACTCGAAGCAGCTTAAACTTAATTCACATTTAAAATCGGTCCAAGTTATTTGAACACCCTTTGCATGTGCTATTAATGCCATCATACCACATGAGTGAATCAGTAAAGAAAGGGAATAGAATTCTAAGAGTAATCAAAAGATTCTGTTCCGATAAATCAGTTGAAAATATCATGTTGCAGGATAAATCCTCAGACAGACCAGTACTTGTATGTAATCCACAGGCTTGGCATTCCTGGTTGGTCAAAGATATTGAGAAAATTGAAGCAGTACAAAAAGAAAGGAGCAAGCAAAATAATTCATATATAAACGTATCACGAGAGGTTGAATCTCTGCAACGTTCCGTCAGTGGAATATACAAGAGGTCGACGTGATCTGGTTGAAACTTTGAAAATCTGATGCAGATTATAAAACCTTCTTCAGAATTAGAGAAAATGCTATTAACAAAAGCGGACACAGCAATGAAGCACATTAATAAAAAAAATAATGTTCAGTTTAATTACTTTTCAAAGAGGATTGTAAATGGCTCGAAGAAGCCGTTAGCGTAGGGACGGTTAAGGAATTCAAGCATCTTTCGGATAAGACAAAATACAACAACATCAGAGTGGGAGGTTATACATAGACCTCGTTTCCGTGTAATGTTCTACGGTATATATATATATATATATATATATATATATATATATATATATATATATATATGGTAAATTACTTATTGTTCCCTAGTTATTTTTTTTCTGCAACTCCACTATTTTCCTGCTTCACTTGAACTTTTCGTCCTGCGTATGACTATCTACTACATCCGGCTGCAAGGCCTCTAATAGAGAATTTTTGAGGATCATAGAAACACCTTTTAATTGCTGTTGTTCCCAAGTGCACCCTAACCCAAGTTTATAGCACCTGTTAGGGTCCTAATTATGGGCAAATAATTAAGCCCCAAACTGGCATCAAAATACTATGAAAGTATAAAAATATATTTTAATATTATAAATACCAGCAATACATCTTTGGAAGAAAAAAATATCAGCAATACATTTTTGAAAATTAAATGCACCGAATAAATTTAAATTTCCGTATTAAATGACCCAAACAAGCCGCTAAATAAACTCCACTTGAAATGTAACATAGAAATTGATTATTAAATGGTTTTACCTCAAAGATGAGCAAATTTCAGCACGGATCTATAATGTGTGTTCTGGAAATCAGAAAGAACGGGGTTGTTATACATCAGGAATTATGGCAAGCTGTATTCAGATATTACGGTTATTATACGAATGATACAATGACTAGCAGTATCCGTTAAAATTGCACGATTTTACCAATTGGATTTTCCAATAAATCATAATTCTTAACAACTGGCTAAATCTCCTTGCGAACTGCACGACTATAAAAGACCCGTGGAAATTCCTGTATTGATCCCTTAAGTATTTAATCTTGACAAATTTTATTGCTATTCATAATTAGGGTGGCAGGTCATTATTTGAAGGAAAAGAGAGTATAAATGAAAAGATTAAAAATTGATAAGGTTTTCCATTTCGCTGAATCAGACGTTAAACGCATGGGAGTGTTCTCATCTCCCCTCCCTTTCTTTCACTTCCTTTCTTTATTTTTCTTTCTCCTCTTTTCTTCTTTATTTCTTCTCAGTAAAATCGAACAGCGTCTCTAATATATCTTTTTCGTCCACCTTTCCTCGCAATCAAAACGGAATGATACATAATTTATCAGCTGCAATGGCAAGGTGTAATATACTAAGGAAAGGCAGAACAAGTAGAAGGATATTACTACTGTTATATTATTGAAAGTAGGGCAAAAAATACGGTTATTATCTTATTAATATAGATATATGCTATGGGTACGTGGCCGAGTTATGGGCTCGTGCTCGAGTTATGGGCACGTGGCCGAGTGGTTAGAACGTTCGAATCTCACCATGGACGATTTGTCAGGAAGGAGACGTCCTGATGTTATCGGAATGGAAGGGTCGATCCTAGAGTGCGGCAACATTAGAAAGTGCCTGAAAACCATACCACGGGTTGTCCCAAGCCTTGTGAGTGAAATTGAGAGGGCGTCGATAGCTGTGCTAGTACGAAGTCACTAGTCATCGTGGCCGAGGGCTTGAACGTTCTGGCCTTATTCAAATTCACGCTAGATAACATGCTCTTTCCCAGAAACTGTAACTAAGGTCTGCTCAGTATAGTTGCAGTATAAACCACAGGTGGCCTCTGTGGGTGTTGAATAAACACAAATGCGCCTGAGCAAGCCTTTGCCAATAGGGATTAGCTACCCTCCCTAGTAGAATACGAGTGGCCAGCTATACATACATACATAGATACATGCCCGTATTTGTTTACTGTTAAAGATAATGGCTCTCCACAGATTCCCTTTTCTATATTATCTGGGAATAACAATACATTCTTGGAATTGATAATGGAATCAATTCCCGTGGCCTTCTTCGCAGTTTGGAATTCAGGGATTTCTTTCCTTTAGACTGGATGCCACTCAAGGCTAGCCTAGTCAACCGTTCTTTTTAACCCAATCAGCGCAAGGGAATTTGAAATTACTTTATCGGTTTCAGGGCCGACATCCGTTACACTGTACACACTTCTTATAGTTATATTACTAATGCTTTTGTCTATCAAAATACATTGGAAATAAAGTATACGGCTTTTGCACGGATATATTATTAATAATTTTACTGTAGAAATATAATCAGAATCTGAAAGAATGTGTCTGTTATATGAATAATACAAACATAGTAATAATCATTTTACTGTATATTGAAAATCTGAACGAATGCGTCTGTTATATGAATAATATAAATATATTACTTATATATATATATATATATATATATATATATATATATATATATATATATATATATATATATATATATGAATAATATAAATATATTACTTACGGTTCTTCTACAGAAATATATTGGAAAAAACGACAGAATCCGGTTATTATATGAATAAATCTTTTTCTCTTAGTCTTTATAGAATGTTCTCCTTAATAAAAAGCCTAAAAGATCGTTGTTACCATTGCAGGGCTGTCGATTGCTTCTCAAAGCTTGTCAGATTAATTCTGTCCTTGCAACACTGCAGCTGAAAGCTCATAGGCAAAACTAAAAGGTAACGTCCACAAAGGTTTCAAACACCAAGTGTAATCATCTTATATGTCCAATATTTCCTTACGGGTCAAGACATTGCGTGTCTATCACGCAATTTACGCTAATTGTCAAATCGTCTGAAAGCCCAATGACTTTGACGTTGAAAGAGGCGACTGACCTGTTGTCGGCTTTTGACTTGCGCTTGTAATGGCCAAAAGGCGAAGCTAGAAAGGATGGAAAAGCAATTAATGGACCAATGACCAATATTCGCTACTGCCATCAATGAAATAGTGTGAAAATTAGTAGACAGTGTATCGTAGCCAGTAATGAAATAATTGCCTTTATCTATCTATCTATCTATCTATCTATCTATCTATCTAGCAAAGCTAGCGCTTACATGATGTGTGCCAAAAGGTTCTCTCACACTGACCATGAACTGAATAAAAAAATTCTGACTTTTAGCATTTGGTACGATGCGAAGAAGTGGCAATAGCCGAGAACTTTTCAGTACGACCTATCTATTTTAGTATATTATACAACTCATTATTCATCTATCCATAGATAGATAGAAATATGCTAAGACAGATAGATATCTGTCTCTCTTATCTATCTATCTATATATGCCAGCCTGTGTTATCTATCTATCTATATCTCTCTCTCACTCTCTCACTCTCTCTCTCTCTCTCTCTCTCTCTCTATATATATATATATATATATATATATATATATATATATATATATATATATGGGTCTGTTCTGATCTATCTATCTATATCTATATATATATATATATATATATATATATATATATATATATATGGGTCTGTTCTGATTTATCTATCTATCTATCGATCTCTCTCTCTCTCTCTCTCTCTCTTTATTATATATATATATATATATATATATATATATATATATATATGGGTCTGTTCTGATCTATCTATCTATCTATCTATCTATCTATCCTTCTTTTTTTTATATCTATCTATCTATCTATCTATCTATCTATCTATCTATCTATCTATCTATCCCAGCCTGTTGAAATCTATCTATGTACCTCGGTCTGTTTATATCTATCTATCTATCTATCTATCTATCTATCTATCTATCTATGCTTTTATATTGATTTCAGTTTCATAATTTTAAATATCTCTTTTGTTTCGTTATTTTTATTCGAATAATATAGTGTAATGGATGTGTTATGTATTAAAATCGATACTAAATTGCTTCATTCTTGGCCTTTTGCAAGTTAACTCGGCAACAAATGGACATTTCCCTGCAGTGTATTAACTGCACACATTGACAATTTGAATTCGCTTCATTAGCTGATTAACTTTGCCAAACGCCATTCAATGCGGCAAACTAATTTTAATACACTTAATATGCAACAAGAGAAAAATGTTCATTGGGCTTCTCTTCCATAGTTGAGTTCCCATTCATGAGAACGAGATATTACGGCCTGTGAAGTTGAGCGCAGAGGAAAGAAACTTTATTAAATTCCGACGGCGACAAATTCAGCTCAGCTAAATTGAGTTTTCGAGACGTCTATTCAGAAAGGTTCATATTACTTTTTTTGTACACACACACATATATATATATATATATATATATATATATATATATATATATATATATATATATATATATATATATATATATATATACGTGTATTTATATGTATTTCTATGTAGGTATAATACACACACACACACACACATATATCCATATCTCTCTATATATATATGTGTGTGTGTGTGTATATATGTATGTATGTATATATGTATAGATAGATCGATAGATGCATTTCATTAAAAATAATAGAAACACTGTCCTGTTAAGTATTGCTACTGTATATCTCTTGTATACGAACAAAAGATTTCATTTTTGGACCAACAAAATCTGTAGAAATTACCTAAATTGTTTTTTACGTTTCAGGCAAATATATTAGCCATCTTCAAGCATTTTAGTTATGCTACCGTAAGTTAGACATATTTTAAATTCCCTAATACATCCCTAACCATGTGGCCACGTTTGTAGGTGATGCTCTTAAGAGTCGTTAATTTATGATAAGGACATAAGCAAACCAAATACACTACGAGATAGATAGATAGATAGATAGATAGATAGATAGATAGATAGATAGATAGATAGATTATTTCGAAATAGAAGTGTACCATTCTGACAAACCCATCTAATAAAAATATATTGTTCTACCCACCAACTCTATCAGAACTACAACTGAAAAGAATTTATCTAAGCTTAACATATATTTGTTAAAACTACTTCTAAAACAATAAAAACGTAATTAATTATTATGCATCTTACCTATGAACACTGATGGGTATATCCTAATCGTCATAAATACGTTGGACACTATTGTAAGTGTGTGTGGTAATATGCTGCCTAAGTAGTCCATCACTAGCAGTGGTTTACCTACTTCACGCCGCTGGCGAGTATTGTATTTTGTTGATGTTATAAACATTACCATTTCATTTCCAACCACCATTTGGGTTATTCCTCATTCATTAACCCTTTCTAATTTACAATATTAATATGGAACAAAACAATAACCTAAAATTTGAAGGAGGAATTTACTCAATCGCCTGTAATGATTGCTGCAAGGAATACATAGGAGAAAGAATTTAAATAAAATATTATATTATGACAAAACAACACACTTAATGCATTAATTGCTCGTCGTAATGAGTCTGACCACATCTTTGAATCAAAATTCTATTTTAATTAAAAGAGAACGGAATTTACTATGACGAAAATGCATAGAAAGTACTTTAATCGCTAGAATATCCGCAGTAAATTTCCATCAACTTTCTTACAACATTTCACATTACTTGGCAGATATTCTTTTATCACAATGTCGGATATTTTAGAACAAACGCGATAAACACATAAACATAAAAGAAACTAAATTAAGATATATACTCTTAAGATATATGCACTTAAGATATATACCCCTAAGATATATACCCTTAAGATATATATATATATATATATATAAAAAAAAAAAAAAAATAAAAAAATATATATTTTTCTTTTTAAAAGTTATTTTGATGTATACTCATATTCAGTTTTAATTAATCAGTATTTTATCTCCAACTACATGTAGCGGCCTGAATATTTGAGAATATCTGACAGAAAATTATGCTTCCTCCGAGAGGATTCGAACCTGCATCCACTCTGGGGAAAGAAAAACCACAGAATTTTACGTGTCTAACCGCTCAGCCGCCTGGGACTTCCACACACGCAATGCTCGAATAGTGCTTTATGAACAATGACGATGCCCTATAGGAGAAGCAGGTTCTAAACCTGTTGGAATTTTCTTTTTTTTTTTTCTGAAAAGATTTCGCAAAATACTCAGGACAAAAGATGCAGTTGGATAAAATATACCGCTTAATTAAAAAGCAGGGCTTCTACTCGAATATGAGTATCTACTAAAAGAAATTAAAATATAAATATTTATATATATATATATATATATATATATATATATATATATATATATATATATATATATATATATATTAATAAATATACATAAATATCTTACATTGATAGCACAACTCCGTGTTTCATAGGTTCTGCATTCATCTAGTGCATTTTTGTGGGTTAACACCGTTTCTGTCATTTTTGTTTATCGAGAGATATGTTATTGTAAGGACAGATTATTATCGTTGTTAAAATATTGAAATGAATTTTAGTTTAATTTTGGATTTGAATTTAAGCCCAGATTAGCATTTATGATTTAGAATAAGTTTGGAAATAAGAATTATAAATTATAACTTGAAGAGACGCTGTTGTAATCAAATGTAATGAATATGAAAAAAAATAACATTTGAAAATCAAGAGTGGCACTTTAAAGTACTAATAAAATAAGTACGTATCAATGAAAATAAAATAATATAAAATAAGATAAAATAAAATAGAAATAAAATAAAATAAAATAGAAACATATATATACAATTTTATTTTATCACGGCATATTTTATTATTATTATTATTGATATCACTACTCTTATTTAGTTTATTAAGATTAATACTAATATCAATAATATTATTAATTACTTTATTGATTTTCATGGAAAATTAGAGATGCCCTCCTCGATTTTCAAATTATTTTTTTAATCATGTTTAATAAATAAACGAGGTGTCTACTCAAATACGAGTAGCCACTAAAAATAAACTGAAAATCCACACACACGCGCACACACACACACACATATATATATATATATATATATATATATATATATATATGAGAGAGACAGGTGATAGATTAAACTGTGTGGACATAAGAAGCAACGCTGCATGGTGACTTACGTTCTCAATGCGATATTCAAATCGAAGATTACATTGTCGCGTGAAACAGACACTCCCCATGCAGCGTTTATTCCTATGTTCAATTAAATCAAAGGAAATCAAAGTAGCTCAAATTTAATATATATATATATATGTGTGTATGTCTCTCTCTCTCTCTCTCTCTCTCTCTCTCTCTCTCTCTGTGGGTATGTGTGTGTGTGAGTAGCAATCACCATGAAGTGTTGAGTCCTATGTAAAATATCACATGAAAGGTGGACCCAGAATTAATTCTTATGTTATTATACTTTAACAAACTAAACCCCCTCCAATTATAACCCCTGGGGAAGAATTACGTTCTCTTGAAGATTAATGACTTTTCGGCCGTTTGATAGAATTTTTCAAAATTGTACAACCCCACTTTGCAATAAAATTCTTGTGTTACGTTTTGGAATACTTAAATCTATAAAGTTAGTCCTTACAAGTGTTTGTAAAATATCAATTAATAGATATTTTTTATTAACTCATATCTTTTTAGATTTGGTACAATGACTATTGCGTAGTTCTCTGAGCTGTCCATTACTGAAAAAAAACCCAATATTTCAATATCTAAAATGTTATGGAATTTAAATTTCTGTTGCAATGTCCTTTCAATCGTAAAACCCTATTGACATCATTTCTGTCATATGAGAAAGATCTTGATTTTAAATTATCAATAATTTTGCCAAATCAAAAATAATACAAGCGTTCAAATACTAAGAGCCAAAAATATAAACACTTCAATTTAACTTTGATGAAAGATACTTGAAAAATAATAGGCACTTCAAACTTTATGAAAATATCAAATACGTTTCAGTTGAAGTCATCACAATCAGTTTCTTCATCATCGTCATTATCATACGTCCCTTCATTCGATTAATGCTTTGCTCTGTTGCCATATCTGGGCTGGTGCTCCTGTTATTCATCTCGAGGCTCTTGACAAAATCCAAAGAAGCATCGATCCTGACCAGCCATCTCGACTTCAGTAACTTTCCCACCGGCGTAACGTGGCTTCCCACTGTCTTTTCTACAAATATTTTCATGTTAACTGTTCTGGCGAACTTTTTTCTTCGGTATCCCGACTACATGAATTTCAGCATGCTACTAGAGTGGCATCTAGATCCTACACTTTTACTGTTAAAACAGTTAAATACACCCGCCACTTATACTCCAACAGTTTCTATTCTCGCACTTCCCAACTGTGGAACACTTTTTCGTTTACTTGCTTACCTGATAAGTACAATCTTAAATAAATTAAAGGCAATTTCAATCGCCATCTTCTGTCTTCTTGAATCCCGTTCATCATCTTTCCTCTCCTATTTTACGGTAATTCCATGTAACTCCCTGCCTACCAGTAATATTCCCGCTTTGCTTGGCGAGAAAATATTAAAAATGAAAAAATCAATTGTGATCAAATGTATGACATTTGATTCCATATGGAATGTAATCGATAATATTTACCATTTAAATTAAACAGAAGGTTTTCTTCAATACATATGATGTAATATATTTGCTTACGTGCAGTAAAACAGAAATAATCGTCTGACAATGATGGCTGGCAAATTGACCGTAAAATAAATATAGAATATGGTATAAATTCAAGAGAACAACATTTTCTACCCAACATCTGCAAAAGGAGAAATTTGGTATGTTAATCTATATAAAATAACCTTTCCAATAATCTCAAACTATTACATCAGAATACATTACCGGTTAAAATATTTAATGATCAGACTAACAGTAAAAATACAAAAACAAAAAAAAACTCTCATTGAGTTTGTTTGTTTGTT